TTAGCGCAGATAGCCCTCGTGTAGCTTTGCGCGAAATTCAAAAACAAAACAAACTAGAAAATCAAATAACCTGGTGTAATAGAACAAAAATCAAATTGTTAGAAAATCAAACTTTTATTTTCAGTCAGGCTTGAAATATCTCATGATCACATTGCGTTATGTTTGCATTTACTGTTTTATTCTGCACGAAAAAGATAATATTTCAGTTGTAAAAAGAATGTCTTCTAATTTAATTATTACACATAAGTCATTGCTAAAATAAAATATTTTGTCAGATTTCTTCCTTAGTCAGTTCAGTGTACAAAATTCTTGTCTTCCATTCTCTATCTTTTCACTCAACGTTTTTTTAGAACACTTCTTTTAAACTTGTTCACATGCAATTGCCACTCTTAATAGTTTTATCCAGGCCCCAAGTAAAAAAAGGAAAATGGGTAGTATTTTGAGCTATCGGGACAAAACTGTCATTAGCAAGTTGCGACAATTCATCTTTAAGTAGCATTAAGTAGAATGTTAAGGAAATTATTAATATATTAACTGTTACGTATTAGAATTTCAAATAGCCTGAAATTGAGTTAACTGATAAATTTAAATTTAGTAGTTAAATTGCGCTTTGAATTTAGTATTTAAATATACGTCGATATATATAGTCAGTTTATGATATTTGCCAACAATATTGATGCACACAATTTTCTTTTTTTAACACAATACGTTTAATATATACACAACAATACAATTCACAATAACAGTTATTACAAATCGTTATGACAAACAATGATTTATCAACAAAAGTTACAAGTTATAAAAAATCTTCTTTCTAGTTTGGAACTTCCTTGATATTGTTACGACAGCGGAAGTCGCGTGACGCTGGGAGCATGCGCGCTGGAGTTTCTCGAATTATCGGGAACTCCGCGAATGTCCGAGTGTTTGCTAGGCACCCTCTTTTTTAGTATATAAGCTTGGTAAAGAAAGCCAGCGATATAGGTAGATAATTGAGTCAAGCGAGCAGTAGGCACCGTAAGTAGAGTGTGTAAATCACTGTGATTTATAGCGTGTGTTATAAAGGTTGTTAAGTAAAGAGACGAGAAACGTATTGATTGTGAAATTACTGTGTATTACAAA